TCTGACGAGTCTGATGATGATGAGGACTACATTCCAAACGGCGATGTAATAGAAGAACGCGAAGATACTAGTGCAGATTCTTCTTCTATGGAAGTCGATGAAGAAGTTGGAGGAGAAGAGGAGCAACGAGAAGAGAATAATGGTCAATTATAATAAATATCTTTATACATTTCATTTAAATTCCTAACAACGTGTAATCTACATATATATAGAAGGAAGTAGTTCTCGATCACCGACGTCAAATAGACGCGCATTAAGGTCCAGAAATGGCAATGGGGTTATCGTCAATGGTCACATCAATAATAATCCTAATCATAGCAATGGCAGTGTCACCAATAACATAACAAGTCGTTACAATGTAAAAAAATATTATATTTACATTTATATATATATATAATGATTTGAGTTATTTTATTTTATTTTTTAGTTTTTAACTCAAAGTCCAATGATAGGAGGAGGTCCTTTCAACAATTCAGCTCCAAGTAAAGATTTTTTTCTTTTTCTCTAAATTTTGTAAGATGAACGAGTACTAAACTAATTTTTTTGCCCACAAAAGATCATCAACTTAAGAAATTAGATGTTCCATTTCAAATATTTTCAGAATCTTTTAATCGTTATCATGATGGTAAAAAACAAATTCTTCATTATTAATTATTATGTAAAATTAATTAACATGCATATAATAATTATAATTAAATCTTAGATCAAGAAAGAGAATTACAATCATTGGTTAGATTGGAAAGGCATGCAACAAAGAAATGTCATGAAGTGGACTGTGAATTAGATAAATCAAGAAGAGAAATAGATGCCAAAAAAAATAATCTAAAGCTAATAAATGATCAAAACAAATTGATTCGAGAACAAATTGAGAATATTCATCATTTGATTATTCCAATTTGTCAACAAGTTTCTGATGAATTAGATGATTTAACTATTGGACCTTTTCTTGCAAAGTTTGTAAAAAATTAACCTTGGTCCTTCCATGATAAATATATAAATCTTCTTGTTATTGTTGTTTTAGTTTTTATTCATTATATATCATATATTTATAAAATATCCATTATTAAGAAATGCATTATTTCACAAAAAATAAAAATAAAATATTTAAAATTAATTTTTCTTTACTATTCTATATATATTCTTTTATCAAATGAACTGTTTGTTTTATTTTTATTTCTAAAATTTAAATAATTTCCATATGAACATTCATAATCAAATAGTGATAATAATAAGTTTCATGATTAATACTGTTACATAGTTTTAAATCATGAATTCTTTGCATGTTTAATTAATATATCTTCGGCTCTCCTTAGAATTATCAATATTTTCATCAATCTTGAAAATAGAACTTTTATTTGTTTAAATCTCTTAATGATTTATTTCAATACTTCAACAAACTGGGTTGTGTCCATCCACAACTAATTCAGCAGTTTCTTTAACTCTCATTTAGTCACAGTGCGTGACATTTATCCTCAAAAACAGATCTAGCAATCATTATTAATAATGTAATGTGAGTAATATGTTTTATTAATCTAATTAGAAAGTAAGAACTTCACTTTTAAATTTAATAAATTTCCTATTCCTCTTGGATCTTATTCAATTATGAATTTTGGTTCTGAATATCCTTTCCAAATCTTTAGTTTGACTTGTTCCCCATTTGAATAATGTAGTTCAAAACATTTATTTCATATAATTCCAATTATCATTTTCTAATAAAGACATTAGCATAGATTTTTCAATATCTGTGATATTTCCATTTTTACCATTAGGTTTTTTTAAAAAAATTTCCGAATTACTGCAAAACAATACATCACAATTAGTTTGAATTAATGTATATGATTGTTATTTTATAAAGATGAATTATATTTTGATGAATCCATTCTGTTTTTTCATCAGTATTTAAATTATCTACATTAACAACTCCGTTGTAAAGATATCTTTAAAATAAACAAGTAATAAATAAATTGTTATGATAGTTCAATAAATCAAATCTTATAATAACATGACTTCAAATGCTTTTATATTTCCTTTTTCAAATAAAATAATACTACCATCATCAGATCTTTTAATTCAATTATTTGATAAAGCTGTTTTAAAATATAAGGATCTTGCTTTTTAAAATGTTGGAATGAATTTTAAAAATTTTTAACATTCTCCTTCATCCAATCCAACTCTAAATTTTGCATCATAAAAATTCGATTGTTCAAGTTTACTAATATATCTTGATGATAAGTTGTATTCAATAGAAGTTATAAGGTTGTTAGATAATATTTTCTAATGATGAAAAACTATTGAACATTTTGTCCCTTTCATTTAAATAAAAACCAACTTGATGATCGCTGATAGATACCAAAAAAATCTCTCATTATTATTAAAGAATTAATTGAAACTTAGTACGATGGATCGATAATCTAATTAATGAACTAGTTGGCAAATTAAACAAGCTCTTGAATGACTTTAGGAGGGAATAGAATAAAAGAAATTAGTCGTTAAAATTAAATGATAAATTAAATAGTAGATGCAATGGTTTTTAAAGGAAAAAAGTTGAAAACTTTAATTAAATGTAAAAAAAAATAAAGATATTTTTATATATATAAAGACTTACTAAGGAACATCTGTCGAAAGCATGACAAAAATATCAATTAACAGAAGGGTTGTTTGATCAAAATTATTTTGGAAGCATAATAAATATCATCCAGAGGCAGTTTATTAATTGAACCAATTATATTTCTTTTACAACCCAAAATTTTTTGAGGCGTTTGCAAATTCTTTACAAGTGAGATTATTACCACTATTATTATTGTTATTATTATAAATATCAAATATCTTAATAATTCTCCAGAATCAATAAAATTATCCCAAGACTGCTCGCTCGATTTTTAATATTAAATATATATTTTGTGATTAACAAGTATTGTGCAACATGGTCTATTATTTTTAGACATCTCCAATAAAATAAAAAATGAGTATTTATAATTATAAACCTCGAGATTTATTAATTGAAGATGACATAATATACTGTCGACCACACCATCTTGAAACATGTTCAACTTGTGATTTAAATCTAGCTCCGTTAAACTCGCTTCATAAATCATTATTGGCAATAAAAGGCAATATACCACCTCCAAATGCTGTGGATCAGTATGTTTCCAAACAAATAACAGGTTTAAAAGATGAAGGCAACAAGCTTTATAATGCACAAAGCTATAATGATGCAATAAAATATTATACTACAGCTATAGAACTGGCTTTCCAGCGACCGTTTTGGGAACCACATGAAATTGCAGAACAAGATTTGGCAATTTGTTTGAGTAATCGAGCAGCAGCTTATATAGGATTGGAGGATTGGGTTAGTGCATATGTGGATGCAGAATTTTCTAATAGGATAAAAGAAAATTACCCAAAAGGATATTTTAGAAAAGGTAAAGCTTTGATGGGAATGAAAAAATATCAGGAGGCAATCAAAAGTTTTGAAATTGGGTTGGGACTTGATCTGAAGAATAAAGAGATGAAAAGTGCACTTGAAGAGGCAACCGAATTATTAAAGAAAAACTATGATGAATAAAATAAAAAAAACATCTTTAAATTAGCTTTAAAAAAAAAAATTTATGTATTTTTTATTTTTTTAGTTATTGCTTTATATATATATTTATTTTTTTTTCATGAATGTCAAAATCACGAGTTTTGAATTTACAAACGTATTCAACTAATTTGATAGGCAAAGTCAGACCTATGAATCATGAACCGAGAAAACTAAAACTAGTTATGAAGGAGGAAAATGGCACGGGACAAAGTGTTTGTTTGAACTGGTTTATGTGCCTAAAATTCTGTGCAAGTGTAAGAGTGCATAGGATCACTATCATCTACAGATTTTTTTTATCAAAGAATTTGCCTTCCAAATTTTTTTTGCTTCTAATAAATTGGATGAATGACGTATATGTCTGCTGATCTCGAATTTAAAATTTAAAATTAAAATTTTTTGTTTGCGTTTAGAATCAGCAACATGTCCTTTGATATATTTTGGGAAAAGTTAGACAGTGGAGGTTAAGATGATCACTGGTGATCAATTGATCATCGCAAAAGAAGTCGCTCATAGACTTGGTATGAATCGTGTCATCTTGGATGCTAATCATCTTGTAGATCCTGAAAAAAGCGAAGAAGAAGTCACCCAACATTGTGAAAGGGCTGATGGTTTTGCTCAAGTCATACCTGAACATAAATATCGTGTGGTTGAACTTTTACAAAAACGTGGCCTGCTTGTTGGAATGACTGGTGATGGTGTAAACGATGCTCCTGCATTGAAGAAAGCAAATGTTGGTATTGCTGTACATGGTTGCACAGATGCTGCTAGATCAGCCGCAGATATTGTCTTATTGGCTCCTGGTCTTTCCACAATTGTTGATGGTATTATTACATCACGTGCAATCTTTCAGCGTATGAGATCTTATGCTTTGTATCGTATCACCTCCACCGTTCATTTCTTAATTTTCTTTTTCTTCATCACACTGATAGAGGACTGGGAGATGAGTCCAATTCTTTTGATTCTTATAGCTTTGTTGAATGACGCTGCCACTTTAGTCATAGCTGTAGATAATGCAAAGATTTCATCAAATCCTGACAAATGGAGACTTGGACAATTGATTACTTTGTCATTGGTGTTAGGTGTACTTTTAACAGCTCTTTCATTTGCGCATTTCTATATTGCAACTCATGTTTTTGGAATTGATAAAGAAGACGAGAGATTAGAGACTATCATGTATTTACACATTTCATCAGCTCCACATTTTGTCATTTTCTCAACTAGATTATCGGGATACTTTTGGGAAAATTTACCATCACCAACTTTCTTCATAGCTGTAATGGGTACTCAAGTATTTGCTATGTTCATCTCAATTTATGGTGCCTTAACTCCTGCTGTTGGATGGGGATGGGGTGTTGGTATCATAGGAGTTTCATTGATATACTTTGTATTTTTAGATATTGTTAAAGTTGCTATATTTAAATATTGGTCATTTGAATTAACAGCAAGATTATGGCCATCAAAAGCTCATAAAACCAAGTTAAGTGGTCGTAAATCAGATGCTTTATATCAAGCCAGAATTTCTAAAAGTGTTGCAAAAGTACGTAAAGTTCTTTTAATTTGTAAAGTTTTATTGGCTTTTGAACAAGCAAAGAAATTAAGCACAAAGAAAGCTATTGCTGGACCATCGACATCATCATAACAATATCATATTTACAATATTGTATCGCGTTATTATTTACTAATCATAATCATAAATCATCATTAATCATCATCAAAAAAAAAAACAAATACATTAATTCATTATTCATTTTAATTCATTCAATTCATTCACTATCATATATAATTTTTAATGTTTTTTTTAAGTATATAATTTTTTACAAGTATAATTAATAGATGAATCAATAGTAATTAATAGTAATTAATTAATAGTAATAATATTTTTATTATGTAAAAATTTTTGGGAAGTTGGTTTTTCTGGTTTATAAAAATGTAACAAATTTTTAAAAAGCAAATAGATAAATAAATTTTTATTTAATTATTGGTGTGAAATTTCACTCAATCGTAACGAAGCATTACACATGGGACGTACTGAACATTTCTCTACATCCATATTAGATTTTGGAGGTTAAGATGCAATTCTAAAAAAAAAATGTTTGCAGATCTTTTCATGAATGTTTTTTGTGAAGAAAACTAGAGCTTTATTAAATGGTCATACAGCTCCCAAAATTATTGAATCATGTGTATTTTTAACCGCTTCACAAGTCTGCATAGCGCGGAATGTCGGAAAATACTATAATAATAATGTACCGCAAGATAATTTTTTTTGGAGTGTCACATTTAAGGTTTCTGGTCCAAACTATTTTGAAAAAAAGTGGCTTTGACAATAGTTTGAGCTTCTCAATACAATATTTTTTACAAGAATGAACATGAAAAAATTAAAAATAATTTTTCCCAATTTCGGCTATTAATAAAAAATAGTTTGGGCCTATAAAAATTAAATTTTGCCCCAAAGTGTCTCGGCAATTTCGGCTACTAAGAGAAGTAATTTCAACCCAAAACCTTGGTCACATTGACAATGGAAGGGTACGGTTGATGATCACCTTAATATCAAATAGACAATATCAACCTCAACAAACACTTGGTACCTCTCTTTCTACTTCGAATCTAAAAAAACGGATGGGCGATTTATTGTGGATCCACCTTTAATATAGAAGTTGCATTAGATAAAATATGGCCGAATATTTACCCTTTTATCTCAAATGGCATTGAATATATATGGTTATCAATTTCTTCTTGTAGTGTACATAGAACGAAGTTTTTTCTAAATATAATTCAATTTTTAGATGATAATCGTCTTTACAAAGTTTAAATATGCTTTATTTAAATGGTAGTAATTTAGGATTTCTATTTTGTAATAAGAAAAATAACAAAAGTAAATAATAATAATAATAACTAATTTAACGACTGCGCAACTATTCTTTCTGATTACACACCACCAAATTGTTTAACTATAGATTCTTTTTTTTTTTTTTTTTTTTGAAAAATCATAAAACCGCTGAATTACTGCAGAACGCATAGATATTATAACGGAAATTACGCAGAATATAGTAATAGTGTTTTTTAATGCATGGCATGCATGCGGAATTTGTTTTTAGCATGGACAGAATTAATGTTTCATCACTGTAGAAAATCATTATCCCCGGATTTGTTTATGTGTTGTGGCGAGGCATTTTTGCTGTCCTCCTCTTCATGGCGATTTTGCAAAGGTTAATGTTAATAATAACAACATTCTAAAAAGCAAAACAAAAAGTTGAGTTGAAACTGACAAAATATAACATTTCATGGTCACATATAGCAAAAGAAGTACATGCCCGAAAGGCAAAAACATTTGCACAAACCGTAAAACAATGTCACTATCCGACTTTGTCAAAGAGATTATTGCCTCTTTAAGGTGGTAGATATTACTCACAGCACATTTTGTTCCCTATATAAATTGAGAACTGGTCATTTAGCATCGCAATCAAGATGTAAATAACTACAGTGCAGGACACCTAATCCCGCAACTTACTGCGCCACGACGACGAATTTTGGGAAAAAATTTCCAATCAAA